AAAAGGAGAGAGAGACAGAGGCAAACAGACAGAAAGAGAGGAAAAGATAGAAATATGATAACACGGTACAATTTGCATTTTGGCATGTAATATAATAAAGGTAATGCTAAAACTAGCATTTTTAGCATTACCTTTATGCTAAAAGGTAATGGTGTACTAGTGGAAGGTCTCAGGTATGAAAATAAGCCAGTTTAAGCAGTAGGCAAACTACTATAAGATAGGGAACTGACAGCGATGTAGGCTATTACTTTGTAATATTTGCCAAATGGATTTTGTAGTATTGTTGCTACTGCTGCTACTGCTAACATGGGTTTTCTTTTGACTTTAAATTTGCCTTTTTAAATTTATCTGTGATAAATTGCTGGCTTTTTCACCAAACCAAGGGCTCATAAAGACATTCACACAATGCAACTGGAATTACAAACTAGAAAGATTTTTAGATACTGTATATATTCGAGTATAAGCCAACCCAGATATAAGCCGAGGCACCTAATTTTACCACAAAAAAACTGGGAAAACTTATTGACTCGAGTATAAGCCTAGGGTGGGAAATGCAGCAGCTACTGGTAAATTTCAAAATAAAAATAGATACCAATAAAATTACATTAATTGAGGCATCAGTAGGTTAAATGTTTTTGAATATTTATTTCAAAGAAAAACAGTAAACTAGCTCTGTAAGTACATAGTGTAAACTACACTATAACTAAATTACACAAGAGAATGTAGTATATATAACAAAAATAATTCAATAACAATTTAATCTGATACATTGGGTTAAGTGATGTAGGGCTCGATCTAATTTCAGGCAAGTTCAAGCCTCTGTTAAGAGATACCTGCATTCTCTCTCTCTCTCCCTTCCTTTTTCTTTTTTTTCTCTTTCTTTCTTCTCTCTCTCTCTTTCTTTCTCCCTCACTTTCTCTTTCTCCCTTTCTGTGAAGAACCCCAGAAGATCTTTGGTAGGAGGAAGAAAAGCCAGACATTTTGAAATGTTTTGTAGCTTACCCTGAGCAAGGATAGCTAGTGCAGGCACTTACAAAAAGCTCTCAACTCAAGCTCAGTGCACGTGGGGATCTCCCTAAACAGTGAGGATTTCTTTGTTTCTTTCTCCCTTGAAGCCCCCCCGCAGCCCGTTTTTGTTTCCAGGGGGCTGCAGGGAATCTTGCTAGGCACCCCCCATGCCCCATTTTGGCCTTAGCAAGCCTCCCTGCAGCCCCTGGGAGCCAAAATGGGTTGCAGGAAAAAAGGCATTTTTTTCCTCACTTGAGTATAAGCTGAGGGGGGCTTTTTTCAGCATAAAAAATGTGCTGAAAAACTCGGCTTATACTCAAGTATATACGGTATATGGGATCATTCCTTTTTGCCATACAAGAGGTGAATAAGAAGTTCATGGATTAGAATGAAACACACACACACACACACACACACACACACACACATGAGAGTTTATTCAGCAAAGCAGAGCAAAATCATAATTTTAACACTTTAGTATAACGTAGGCAAGAAATATCCACAGATAAAGCAAAAAAAAAGCACGACTGAAAAATTCAATAGAGCACTATAAATGTATAACATTTCATATTCCTTTAGCTGAAAGCCTCTCATCTTCCTCAAAGAAAGTTCCTTATGCCACCTAAGATTCAGTGTATATGGTATCCCCAAATACACTTATACTTAGTACATGGTGAATCTTCCATTTTGTATACATTTACAAAAATATTGTGAGAGGGGTAGCAGAAATATCACAAAATAGTGATATGGCTTTTTCTATATGTTATCAACAGCTTGGATGAAATTCAATATTTCTCAAGGACATTTCACTAAGATATCATCCTTTGTATAGATCAATCTATACTTTTCTGAGTATAAGATACACTTTTCCTCCCTCTAAAAGTGGGTGGAAATGTCTGTGTGTCTTATACAATGGATGTTGCTGAAGCCCCACCTACCTGCTGGCCCCACTCTTCGGCCATTTTCGGCCTCCATGCATCACATTTTCAGCCTCCACACACTTCTTTTTTTTTTTTAATTTTTTAATTTTTTATTTATTTATTTATTTATTTATTTATTTATTTATTTATTTATTTGTCAATAAGTACAAGGAAACAAGTAACAGTATAGACATAGACATAGACACATACATAAGGAAATAAATAAGCAAAACATAGCCATAAAATGAGTACATATAAATGGGAACAGTAGGACAGGGACGGTAGGCATGCTGGTGATGTGTTTATGCACACCCCTTAGGGACCTCTTAAGAAACATGAAAGGTCCACAGTAGACAGTTTAAGGTAAAAGGTATGGGGATTAGAAAGACTAACAACAGGATCAGGTAGAGTGTTCCAGACATTTACTAGTCTATTGCAGAAGTCATATTTCCTACAATCAAGATTAGAGCGAATTACATTGAGTTTGAATCTTTTTTTTTTTCTTTAATTTATATGCTGCCCTTCTCCGGAGACTCAGGGCGGCTTACAATGCGTTAAGCAATAGCCTTCATACTTTTGTATATTTATACAAAGTCAGCTTATTGCCCCCACAATCTGGGTCCTCATTTCACCTACCTTTGAAAATCCTTTCAAAGGCTGAGTCAACCTTGAGCCTGGTGAGATTTGAACTTGCAGTAATTGCAAGCAGCAGATGTTAATAACAGTGCTTTAGTCCACTGTACTACAGGCTCTTCTATTGATAGCCCTTGTGTTATTGTGGTTGAAATTAAAGTTCTCATTTATAGGTAGGACGTTTTGGTAAATAATCTGATGAACTAAGCTTAGGTCGGAACATAGACAGTGTAGTTCGAGGCTACATTCCGACCTAAGCTTAGGTCAGAATGTAGACGGCGTAGTTTCAAGCCTGGTCGTATAGGGAATTTTATTTCGAGCAGAGGATTTGAATGCTCTTCTAGTAAAATATCTCTGGATCCTCTCTAATGTATTGTTGTCTGAAATACAGTGAGGATTCCAGGCAGGTGAGCAGTATTCAAGTATAGGTCTGGCAAAAGTTTTGTATGCCCTAGTATACAAAACTAGCCATAGCATTACCAGAGAGAAAACTTCACAAAATAAGATTGACAACTCTTAATGCCTTTTTTGCAATGATGTTACAATGAGCTCTGGGGCTTAAATCTTTTGAAATGAGTATTCCTAGGTCCTTGATAGAGTGTGGGTCAACTTTCTATTGCCAATGTGCAGGACTGAGCATTTGTTAGCAGAGATTTGGCATTGCCAATTGTTTGACCATTCAGATACATAGTCTAGGTCATTTTGAAGGGTAATAAATGTTGAATAGTTTAACATCATCAGCAAAGAGGACACAGCTGCTGATAATTTGATCACAAAGATCATTGATATAAAGCAGAAAGATTGTTGGACCTAGAACACTGCCTTGGGGAACACCACTGTTAACAGGTGCAGGATTTGATAGGGCGCTGCCTATTTTGACCACTTGTTGCCTGTTTGACAGGAATGCAGCTATCCAATTATGCAGGGGTCCATAAATGCCATAAGATTTTAGTTTTAAAATTTTAGACCTGTTCCAGGCTGCGGGGATCACCACAGCACATTGCCGCCTCCACGTGTCGAATTTTCGGCCTCCACACATCATGTTGTTGGCCTCTGCACACCCCGGTTTTTGCCTCCACTTGTTGCATTTTTGGCCAGTTCCAGGCAGTGAGGGCAGCTGCCACCTCCAATCCATGCCACCTGGAACCAGCCCAAAACACGATGCATGGAGGCCAAAAATGGGGCATGCGATTGGCTGTGGCAATCCCCACAGCCGGGAACAGCTGATTGGTGGTATTCCGGGAGGCCGATCCAACCGCCAATCAGCTGCTCATGCTGAATCAGGCTGCAATAACATGCTGAAGCTGACCAGGCTGTTTGCTGTTTGCTGCAAGGATGCTAGCCAGATGAATATCAGTGGATGCTAGTAGGCAGCGACAGAATTTTTTTTCTTGTTTTCCTCCCCAAAAACTAATGCGTGTCTTATATTCTGGAGCATCTTATACTCCAAAAAATACAGTATCTCTTATCTCTTTCATGTTGTATTAAGTTGTAAGACTTCTAAAAGCTTTTTTGATGTTCTAGTAGAATTAAGCATCATCTTAATTTAATTTCTTGCTTTTTATTTCTTATGGTTATCAAAAGGTTATATGAAATCAGTTCATACAGCTTGTGCACCCTGTCATATGTCTGGTCCTGCCAAAGCCCTTCTAAAGAAAAGAAATATTCTGAGCTAAAGAATCTGAAAACCAACTGTATATAGAAGTTAAGGCATCAGGCTAAAACCCAGAAGACTGAGACTTCTATTCCATCGTAGGAATGTAGCTTTTGGGCCAGTCCCTTTCTCTCAGACCTTGAAAGGAAGCAATGACAAACCCCTTCTGAAAAAAATGTTGCCAAGAAAAATATAGGGTCTTATCCAGGCAGTTGCCAGGGCTTGAGGCTGACTGAAAGGAGCAAAATATCAAAGTTTGTGTGGAAAAGACCATTTCAGGAGGGAAGTGTTATAGCGGACTATCTATTTTGGAAACTCTGAAGCTTTAGCTAGCCATATTATGGACCAATCAATCAATCAGAATAGAATTGGAAGGGACCTTGGAGGTCTTCTAGTCAAACCCTCTGTTCAAGCAGGAGTCCAGTCACTTCTTAAAGCATTAGAGGGACTAGGATTAGATGGAAGCCATTTCATATAGGAAAACACTGTGAAAAAGAACACATTTAAACCTTCTCTGCATTTCACCAGTTTTCCCAAATCACATTATCTCTGATACTGACTTCATTAAACGTAAAGAATTGTTAGTGTGTAGAATGCCACAGTTGCCAAACATCCATATTCAGCATCTGTAAAGTATATTGGCAGTAAGTAGAAGTGCAAGACATTGGATAAGCTTTGCGTCCATCCTAACTATCCCTTTCTACCATATTTTCATGTAAGTAAAAGAAAAGACAGCAAAAATAAAAAATACAGTGAATAGAATTCAAACAATATTAAAAGAATTGTCACAATCTCCAAAGTTTAGAAAGGACACATTTGACATTCTTATTTCTCATGCTATAGATGATTGGATTGAACAAGGGTGGAAGGAGGGCATACAGAACAGTCAATCCAATATCTAAGTAAGATGGAGTATTAGAGGAAGGTCTCAGATAGGCAAAGCATCCACTGAGTAATAACATAGACACTACCGTAAGATGGGGAATACAAGGGGATAAGGCTTTTTGCCTTCCTTTTTCAGAAGGGATTCTTAATACTGTCTTAAAGATTACTGCATAAGATACAACTATAAAAGTAAAACAACCTAGTCCAACAATAATACCAATCACTAGAACTCCAACCTCAAGAAGATTTAAGCCAGAACAGGGTAGTTTTAGCAATTGTGGAATTTCACAGAAAAATTGGTTGATCACATTAGAACAAAAAAGAATGGAAAAGGTGGCAGTGGTATGCAACATTCCATAGAGGAGACCTGTAACCCACACTAGAATTATTATTTCAGTACAGTATTTCAAATTCATCACCATTTCATAGTGCAATGGATGGCAAATGGCAACATACTGATCATATGCCATAACTGTCAGGAGGGATAAATCAGAAGCTTCAAAACAGAGAAAGAAAAAATATTGAGTAACACAACCAAAGTAAGAGATATATCTGGTGTCCATGAGAGAATTTATCATGGATTTTGGCACAATGACTGAAGTAATGCCCAGATCCTGCAGACCCAAATTCATTAAAAAGAAGTACATGGGGCTGTGCAGTCCATGGTCAAAAGCAACTGCAAAGATGATGAGAAGATTTGTTGTTAGAGTAGCCACCTATAACACAAAGAAGAAGAAGAAATGCAAAATCTGCAGATGCCGATTGTTTGAGAATTCCAGAAGCAGAAAGTAAGGCACTTTGGTTTGATTTTCCATGTCTTATTTATGACCAAGCCGGCATAACTGCAAGGAAACAGAGGAGGGAAATTAAGTTAGATAAAATTTTGGTGGTGGAATTTTGATATGTGGTGAGAATAAAAAACATCAAGAAATATAAAGCATGGACAGAATGAACAGGGGATCAGAGCATGCAAAGATAGTGTTGTAGGATGGGGATATTAGAGCACACACTTGTGATTTATTACCCATCTGTACTAAAGAATCAACTATCAACCACACATTTTTTCCTTCTTTCGTCTTTTCAGTTGTGTTATCACATGTAGTGATCAAAAGCATGGCCTAGGAGTAGAATAGGAGTAGAATAAAGTCAGTTGAAATCTATTTTTATCAATGGAAGATTACTTAGAATAATTGGACCCATCATAATGTCTGCACTCCTACAGGATTGTGATAGTGTTGGAAAATTGGAGAATTCTAATGTATGATGCTTTGTGCTTCTAGGAAAAAGGGAATGTAAATCTACCCAATAAATATAAAAACAATTTGCTATATCTCTTACTTTGAAATCTTGAGAACACACATTTCCTTTTTGTATAATCTCTTTGTGTGTGTTTATATAAGTGATGTCAATGATTTTTATCTCCATTTTCCTACCAGATATTAGGCTAAAATAATAGCATAAAAGGCTTTTAAACTAATACATAATTAGATTATTAAACATGTATTTAATAGTGTATTATTAAACAGAAAATGATAGAACGTATTACAACATAACTACTATTTTGATATACCCTTGGTGATAAACGCACAACTATACCACTGTGAAATACATTTAATCAAAGGAGCTCAAGTATTAGCAGAATAAAATAATAAATCCCCTTGTCCAACAATCAGAAGGTAATGAAAACTCAGTTTGTAAAGGCAGTATCCCATCCAATAAAAACCAATGTTTGTAGTAGAGTTTGGAAAGAAAATGAGACACAACCTATTGCACCTTTTTACTCTGACATCTCAGCATTTTTTTTCAACAATGTTGAAGGCCACACAAGCACATTTTCAACAATATTACTTAACTTGTTTAAAAACAGAGAAATAAAAAGAGATTTTACCATGTACAGATAAAGTACAAGATGACTTTGCCATTGTTAATTCACCTATTAGTGATCAGTTCATGCATGATGATTTGGTCCAAATTTCTGCAAATTATAACTGTTTTTTATTGTTTATAATTATGTGGAAAAGTTACCAATGTTAAACATGTAGTTAATTCGTTATTTAAAGTCTACACAAAAATCTTTCCAAATGGTATTCTGTTTCATTATATCTTTAAATATAGTGCCTGAGTTCCAATTTCTGAAAAAAAATACCTATTCTCTTCAAGCAGAAAGTTTTAAAACCAACTCTGAGATATAACACATAAGATATATTGAAATAAACAATGTGTGCCTGAAAAGAGGGAAATAGCCTTTCTGTTAAACTTTCAATATAACTAAAAATTTGTCTCTATATAGATGATATATTCCATGTTTTCAAGAGTTAAATATCTTACCACTAAGTAAATGCTGTCTCATTATCTGCAGTTGTAGAGATTTCTATTCTGAATTTTATATTAATCTTTCTTTTGTTTCCCTCAAGAGATTTGTACACCAAAATAAAACTGACTTCTGTGTGCTTATTAACATAATTGGTCATAAGAATACAATAGCTATATCTTATTTGCTGATAATTGATAGTTGCAAAATTTATCTCCCCCTCTCCCTTGGCCACTTCATCAGAAGAACCCATTCACAGCTCATCTGGCAAAACACCAAGAAACAATTTTCAGCATTTTTCATATTTCAGCATCCTTTATCATAATTCAACATCTTTTTAATATCTCTAATTTGGTTGGTTTACCAACCGTCTCTATGCAATTCAGGCAATTCAGTAGCTTTGGCTGGGTTGAACAAATAAAAGCCATAACTGGAAAATGCAGAAAAAAATGAACATCCCATTGGAAGGACACAGCATGAAATAGAAAGTACAAGATTCTTATTCTCTTCTAAGTTCATAGAAAGAAAAGCTACAGTATTATTATGTGTGGGCAAGGGTGATCACATTGACAAAGTCAGCACATCAGTATTTTGATATAACTTTTGATACAACACTAAAATCTTACACTTAAATATGAAACGGGTAGAAGGTAGCCTTCCATGGCATTAGAAGTCTACTTTGGTTGACCAGAGAAATTTTGTTTCCTACAAGTGTTGACTACCTCAAGAGTTGCAGTTCCACCAGGTCTTATTGGATTGGCTTTGGTCAACCACATTTTTTCTTGTTGCTATTTTGAATTGAACCTTTACTTTCCTTATTTTTTACAAACCACACTTAAAGAAAAGATGTCTTAACATGGTGTCTGAAGTCAATTGAAAAACAATTCAAAATCAGCAAAACATAAAAATATCAAACTATCTTCAAACTAACTTTCGTCTATATAAATGGGGGAAAGGAAAACACAAACAGGCCTTCAAGTCTATAAAAATAGAATTATGTACTATTGACGAGTTGGTTTCTTGACTGGCCTACCTCAAAAAGATAGGCCAGTCAAAAAAATATCTCACCAAATTCAGAATAAGATTGTGACTTATAGAATAAGTAATCATATGCCATAACTGTAAGGCAATAACTGTTGTATTTGGACAAGTTTAGTGAGATGTTGTAATTTCTCCATATTAAGAAAAATCTTAAAAAATAAAATCCATTCTGAACTAACCTGCTTGTTTTTCTTGCTTGCTTGATGAATAAATGGAGTGGTGAATCTTATCAAAAAAGTTCTTGTTTTCTATGAATTTCTCAAACTTTCAATGTTCATCCCTGTGTGCCACATGGTCAAAGTTAGACTTTGCTATCTCATGACCATAAAATCATGGTGCCTTTATGAAGTCATAGTGCCAGGTTCTAATAAAAACCCTAGTATTATCCTTGAAGCTGGGAGCTTCTACATAGAACCAACTATTGGGGGATGCAAAAATAGGCCACACTTGGGGTATTTCTGCTATTGTTATTAAGGAGCTCCTGGCAGCTTATAAGAAATTTGGATAGCATCTTGTTTTTTATCTTCCGCTTCTAAATCAGTTTCTATGGATTATAAATACAGTAACATCTCTTTATTCATTGTGCATTTATTGTTTCTGGATTCAAAAGGAACAATTGCCTGTGTACTTGATTAGTGCCCTGGCACTTGGCAAAAGACAGGAAGAAATCAGGAGCAGTAAAGGAGATTTTAAAATGAATTGAGCAACACAAACAAAATAAGAAATATGAAATATGGCCATGAGATAGTTTGCTAAAGCCTTGAGAAATGCTTGAAACAAAGCCCAACACAGCCAAATTCATCAGAAAGAAATTTATGGGGTTGTGCAATTAATCATTCAAATTTACTGGAGTGGTGATGAGAAAATTTGCTGTGGCTACTGCCAGATATGCAAAACTTACAGTTGTTCAAGTATTGAGAATCTAGTCAGCCGAAAGAAAAGCACTTGTTTACGTGTTTCATTTATAATAAAGATAAATGATATAAAGTAGAAATGGGAGATTAAAATTAAATACAATATGGGAAGCTCAGCTTGATATATAGAGAAAGTGAAAAGTAAAAGGAAGAGGAGTATTGAAAGGGAAGAAGAGAAATACGATAACAGTGTACAACTTGCACTTTGTTATTTGTATGTATATTTGTATGTATATTGAATAAAGTATTCTTCAATTCTTCAAACAGATTCTACCAGTACCATATTATTCAATCCCATGAAATCTTCAGCAAAGGCTATAACCAACTGAGATCAGTCATCGAATAACCACAAAGTATGTTTTGCAGGACATTACCAGACTTCTTTACAACTTTATTATTCAATACCCCAACTAATATTCTCCAAACAAAGGCATATTTTCTTTTTTTGTTTCGGAAAAGTTTTTGCCCATATGCATTGATATGAATGCATAAGAAACCTAGTACAGAAGTAACACTGCCAAGTACCCTTGGGCTGAAAGTTCTTTAAAAAGGTAAAGATGAAATGTAATGATGACATGGTGAACTCCATAAATTATTATTTCCTTATTTACACAACATTTAAATCATATTGTTTTTTTATGTAGGAATTAATATGTTGTTATGAATCTAGTTAATAGGTTTTATAATCATGTTTAATGAGTTAATTTGTTTTACATTCCAGCAAACCATAGTTTATTCCACCCTAAACTCTCTAATCATCATTTAGTGTGGTATATGAAACACCATCTCTGGTAATAAAGTAGGTCAAGAAATTTCTTTTATTAGATTTTTCAAGACTTGAACAATCCTATGGAGAAAATATTTATAAACAGATTTTATCATTATCCTTAATAGAATGCTGACTTCTTTCAGCAAACCAAGAGCTCATACAGATGTTTCCAGATGGAATTGGAATTAAAAAGACTCTTAAAGAGTTAGGGGCCTATTCCTTTTTCTCACAGAAAATGGGAATGAGACATTCATTGGTTAGAAAGAAAGAAAGAAAGAAAGAAAGAAAGAAAGAAAGAAAGAAAGAAATATAAATTTAAAGAGTTTATTGAGAAAAGCAGAACAAAATAGTCACTCTAATAGTAAAGTGTAATGTTCAAAGGTGTAATAGCAAAGTGTAAAATTCAAAATAGAACTTAAAATGTAGAAGAAAATTTCATATCCCTATAGCTGAAAGCCTCTCACCTTCATCAAAGGAAGTTGTTGATGATACCTTGGTGATTCAATAAGTATACGGCACCTTTCCCAGGTACACTTTTACCAAGCCCCAAAGTACTTGGTGAACCTTCCATTTTGTACACATTCTGCCAACTATTTTGAGGATGGTTTCACAAAATATCACAAAATAGAGATATAGTATTTGGCATGCATTATCAGTAGCTTGGATGGAATTCATTATTTCTCAAGGACATTTCAGTAAGATATCATCCTTGGTGTAGATCTGTCTATCTTCCTTTGTTCCTGTATTGGACCAGGGAACACGTCATATCTCTTTCACTTTGCATCAAATTGTAAGATTTCTGAAATCTTTTTTTATCATTATTATTTTTATCTTCATTATATATCATCCTAATTTAGTTTCTTGAATTTTTCATTTATCTTGGTTACCAATATGTTATATGATACAATATCAGTTCACACACCTTTCTCACCCTGTCAGGTGTTTGATTTTGCTAAAGCATTTCTAAAGGAAAGAAATAATCTTTAGCTTAGTTTAAGATAAAGATTCTGAAAATCTTTTTGATGCAGAGGTTAAGGATTAAGGGTTAAGAAGTTAAGAGCCGAGGTGGCACAGTGGTTAGAATGCAGTACTGAAGGCTACTTCTGCTGCCTGCCGGCTGCCTGCAATCTCAACAGGCTCAAGGTTGACTCAGCCTTCTATCCTTCTGAGGTTGGTAAAATGAGGACCCAGATTGTTGGGGGCAATAGGCTGACTTTGTAAACTGCTTAGAGAGGGCTGTAAAGCACTGTGAAGCGGTATATAAGTGTAAGTCCTATTGCCATTACTATTCCTAAGGCATTGGGCCAGAAAGCAGGACTTCTATTCCACTTTGGAATGTAGCCAGTAGGTGATTTGGGGCTAGTCCCCCACCTCAGCTCTTAAAGGAACCAATAGCAAACCTCTTCTGAAAAACGTTGCACAGAAAACTATAGAGAATTGTCCAGGCAGTCACTCGCAGTTGAGGCTGACTGAGAGATAAAATTTAGGGAATAAATGACCAATTAAGGAGGGAAATGTTATTTAGAGCCATGTTCTTTTGGAAAAGCTTTAACTAGCTATATTATGGGCCAGCATTAGAAGGAATATGTTTTATACAAGAAAGAAAGGGAAAACTAGGTCACAGCTTTTAAAACTTCTCTAGATTTAAAATATTTCCTCCATTCACATTATATTCTGATCCTCACTTCACAACATCAGGAATTGTCAGTCTGTGGCATGCCAGAGCCATCAAACATCCATATTTATCATCTGTAGAGTGCGTTGACAGTAATTTAGGATGCAGGACATTTACTAAGGAACATATGGAGTTCTATGGTTCTTCTGATTGAGATTTTGGATTTGCCTCCATCACAATTATCCCTTTCTACCCTAATCCTTTATTCATAGAAGTAAAAGGAAAGCCAGAAAATGCAAAATTGTGGTGAACAAAATATAAATAACATTAAAAGAATTTGTCAAAATCTCCACAGTTGAGAAAGGACACATTTGATATTTTTATTTCGCATGCTATAGATGATTGGATTGAACAAGGGTGGAAGGATGGAATATAGAGCAGTCAACCCAAAATCTAAGTAAGATGGCGTGGGAGAGGAAGGTCGCAGGTAGGCAATGGATCCACTTAGTAATAACATAGACACTACTGTAAGATGGGGAATACAAGTGGATAAGGCTTTTTGCCTACCTTGATCAGAAGGGATTCTTAATACTACCTTGAAGATCACTGTGTAAGATACAATTATAAAAGTAAAACAACCTATTCCAACAATAATACTGGCCAAAATAATTCCAACCTCAAGTACATTTAAACCAGAGCAGGATAGTTTTAGCAACTGTGGAGTTTCACAAAAGAATTGGTTGACAACATTAGAACAAAACAGAATGGAAAAACTGCCAATGGTATGCAACATTCCATACAGAAAACCAGCAAACCACACTAGAATTATTATTTCAGTGCAGGCTTTCCAATTCATCATCGTTTCATAGTGCAATGGATTGCAAATGGCAACATACCGATCATATGCCATGGCTGTCAGGAGGGATAAATCAGAAGCTTCAAAAGAAAGAAAGAGAAAGATTTGAGTAACACAACCAACGTAAGAGATGTGTCTAGTGTCCATGAGAGAATTTATCATAGATTTGGGAACAATGACTGAAACAATGCCCAGGTCCTGCAGACTCAAATTCATTAAAAAGAAGTACATGGGGCTGTGCAGTCGATGATCAAAAGCTACTGCAGAGATGATGAGAAGATTTGCTGTTACAGTAGCCAGATATAACACAAAGAAGAAGAAGAAATGCAAAAGCTGAAGATGTCGATTTTTTGAGAATTCCAGGAGCAAGAAATAAGACACTGTGGTTTGATTCTCCATTTGTCATTTAAGAGAAAGCTGCAGGGCATAACTGCAAGAAAGCAGAAGGGGGAGTTGAAGTTAGATACATTTCGGTTAGTGGCAATTTGATATACGGTGAGAAGAGAAAACAAAAAGAATAATAAAGCATCGACCAGATGAACAGAGGATTATATATATAGTTAGCAGAGAGTACATTCAGTCAATTTCTACCCATCAAAAAATCCACTCAAGGACCAGATGCAAATCTGACATTTTTCCTTCTTTCCTCCTTTTAGTTCTATTACCTCCTGTACCGATCAAAAGGATTGCCTAGGTTTAAAAAACCCTATTCAAATCCATTTTCAACGGTGGAAGATTATTGGAAATATTTGATATGGTCACAATCCCTTACTTCTGGTAAAGGATTATGATAGTGTTGCAAAATTGTGGGATATGCTACATAGAGTGCTTTGTGCTTCTGATAGAAAGGAACTGTAAATCTAGTATAGAAACATAAAAACAAACTCTTACATTTTTCACGCCGTATGTCTCTGTATTTCTGTTTTATGTGGCAAATAGATGGATTTTTTTTCTCCTCCTCTCTTTTACCCTAACAGCTTTTAGACGAAACAAAAGAAACACAAAATGCCTTTAAACTAATACATAAATACTAGTTTCTAAACATGTATTTAATGGTATATAATTAAAAGAAAGGGGGATAGAACTTTACTTAGAACATAATTTTACAGACCCCTCGTATCCTGAATATAAATTGTTACAACT